ATTCGAATAAGTCCACATGATTTCTGAGTTTCAGTGTTAAAATTTCTTGATGTTTTTTTGTGAAACGAAATCTTCGAACTCTTAGACTGAGTTCATAGTTCGCGTCCCGATCACTTCGATCCATGAACTTTTGTGACGACCTTTGGGAGGCGGGCAAGGCAATCGCGACCTGCTGCGCAGTCGTGCGCGGTGCGGCGTGCGGCTCATTCTCGATGTGTTCCAACTTGTCGATTCAGGAGCGGAACACATGTAAATTCAAGCAGAGGCAAGGCTCCATGCTGAGTAATGTAGATATTCCGCGTCCCTCTAACACCTCGTTGGAACGGCCCGGCAAGACAGTCGTCTCACGGACGCGATGCCGCTCGCAGCGCCCACCGGCGCAGTGCTTCATATTACCACTGTCTCGTCACATACCACATTTTGTATCTAAGCCCACGGTATCTGCAAATAGGAACAGGGAAAAGGATATTAAGTGAAAAGAAACAAGGTGAAACTTTTAACCAGCTTCAGCTGCAAAGAAAAACTGATGGAATGGCATGGAATAGGTGTATGCATGTTCTGAGGCGCGATCCATTTGTTTTTAGGTGCAGTGACTTGACCGGGCGGGTCCTGTAGCTGAGCTGAGGAACATCTGCAAAATGCGCCCCCCTCCAAAATTTCCTAGTCTTACACGATTCCCTACTTCACCATACTAGCTACCATCCACTTTCTTTCCCAACTTCCCCCCTCTTTTTCTACTCTTGAAAAAATTTTGAAGTTTTCTGGGAACAAAAATGCCGTTGAGCGGGCGGGAGGGCGAGGTCGCCACTAAACGACACCGATTTCAGCTATCAAAAATAATGTTTGCATAGGACTATAGCTGTTTGAAACGTGACCCTCCCAACCCCATAGGAGTCTTTCGGCAATGTGGATTGAGCGTGTGAAACAGAAAAAAAATCGACTTTCAAGGAAAATTTTCTCGGGCTAGATACCACCCCTCCCCGCAGGTGGCCATACGACGAGTCCTGGACACGACATGCGTTGGTGTGTCCTGGGACATCAGTACGTTATGTCGTCATACGAAAGGTTCTAATAAGTGACGAATTGTTATTGTCCCACGGTATCGTCCCTCCAGTTGATGCGGCCTCGTAGTACTATTTAACAAACGTTCTGTTGTAATTATCGTTTGCAATCGCGGAGACTTCTGAGTTCATTATCGATTCGTTCTCTCCTCGATGTGCTTTCTTCGGACCACCATCGTTTCTGTGAAATACCGCCCTTATTCCTGTGAAACGAGCATAAATTTCCTTGCAGATTCTGAATCGTTAAGGAGCGTTTCATGACATCCAGGTAGACGTCGTCACGGTGGTTTGCTTGTTGACTTGTCGCTAGGCAATGCTCTACACTGTTTTATCTGTACTCAGGTGACATTGGGCTCTCTTTTTTTTCGTAATTTACTATCATATTTTAATTTTATTTGTCTATGTTTAGCCAAATTTACTGCGATGGTCCAATCCTCAGGACGGTGCAGGACTCGTTCATGTTCCCTGATTCCAAACATTTCGTCGACATGTCGTTGAAATTCGATCCAAGTCTGTTCTTAACTTAATTTCTCTTTCCATTGGTAGAATTTTCTGTTCTATTCGGCGATCAATAGAAAAAGCGAAGCTTATTCCACCCAACTGCCGTAAGATGTTACGTAAATACACGAAGGGTAGCCGTGTAATCGCACATCACTGGCGATTACCGTAATCCCACGACTGTTTTATTCGCCTATGGAGCGCAGCGCAAGCTACTGTATGCTGGTCATTAAGTGTCTTAACGGGGGTCTTTGTCATAATCCCTTCGAAGGGATCATTTTATACTCTTTTACCTTTGTACTACTGTCGGCACGGCTCCCCGTCACTTATCACTGAACCATTGACGAACTAAAGGGATGTAGAATTGCAAAGTTGGAAACGATTGAGTACGGATCAGTTTGAAGACTTGCAGAATTGCGGAAATAGATCAATGCGTAATTAGTCCTGTTTGTCACCCTGCAGTTCTTGGCACTATTTACCCCTTACTGCCGAAGTTGAGGCCACAATTCGTTTTCGATTCGTCTGAAAATACTGAAAGTTTGGCTTCCTGAACATGAACATTACATCCTTTAAGTCTGGCACCATCTAAGGCTGGAGCTTTCATACTATATGACAGCGTCCACCAGCGACCACTAGCATCTACCGCTCCTAGCAAACTCCAGCGCTCACCAGCGTCTGGGAGTGGAGACTATGGAGAAGTAGGAAGGTAGGATTAGGATTAGGCGTTGGGAGACTGCGGTATGCAGTTGTACGGTGCGTCTGCACACGCCGCAATTTCACGACGTCTAATCCAGCTGTCTACTACCTTCCTACCTCCCCATACTCTTGACTCCTGGACGGTGGTGGACGATGGTAGACGCGGGCGTTCACTAGATCGGTATCTATACTGTCCTAGCCGGTGGCGCTCGCTCGAAACGCTGGTGGACGCTGTCGCAAAGTATGAACGCAGAGTAACGCATGCGCCACCAGCGACGGCTCCATATGTTTTTTTTCGACTCCAGTGAGTTTGGTGCCGAACGGTGTGCTAGGGCAGGTAAGGATACACGACGAGAAAAAGGAGCACCTTACTGGGTGCTCTGTTAGTGATCCTTTTCTTTACTAATTCAAGGGATCGCTGTCGTGTGGGAAGGAAGCTTCGACGCGACTTATAGCCCGCTTCGTTGCGCTTAGGAACAAGACATCCAAGCTGAAGACCACAGAAGACATTCAAGACCTGTAGAAGCTCACAAGATGAGGGAGCCGTCGCGATTCTGTTCCATAACGCCGATGCTACAATATTTAGGAATACTCAAAATTCTGAATTGCCTTCTCTCAGGGTTGAATGTACGAAATGAACGAAACTGCATGCTGAGCTTTTCAAGATCAAGCACAACGCAAAGATACCGACGCTCAAGATCTAAAAGCTATTGGTCCACGAGGACGCACACATACATTTCATCCGTTGCTTTAACTTTATACACCCATAACGACGATTAGGATCCCGCACGGTGCCGGTGAAACACCTGGTCAAGCAACCTGCAAACACCTATGCTTTTGATTGATGGGTAGCAAATTCTTCCTTATCCATCCCAAATCCTTCGCGGTTTTTACGACAAATGATGTGGAGTGCCGTGCCGATAGTACAAAGTCAGAAGAAGCATTAAATGGTTTCTTTACAGCAATATGACGAAGAACTCCTCGTTAAGGCACGTAATAATGACCAATATAAAGCACCCTGTAGCGAATAAAAACAGGGCGCGTAGGATTCACGGTAAATCACCATTGCGTGCGCAATTTACACGGCCTACCCCTTCGTGTACTTTACGTAACACTCAACTGCCGTATTGGCGTGCACAATGCACCGGTCACGTGAATGCCATGTGAACCGCATGCGCGGCCTAAGCTGTCGCACGCAATTTTCGTTCATGAACGGGGCTGTGGATTACTTTGTACTTGAATTTCCGGATAAATTTCCGTTGTTGCTATTTCACTTCGCATTAGAGTGTTGACGTCCACCCACAGCGGAGCCATGCGCTGTGCTATCAAAAATAGGGCCTTTGGTCTTAGAGGCATCGGTAGAAAACACACTCTAAGAGAGTAGGATTCATTAAGCTGGTTATTGCGTAGGGATGTATTATGCACCAGTCTTCACTAAATCAAGATTAAAACAGATATCCTATCTAATAAGTTGAAGGAGCAAACAATCGCCAAAATAGGTGGTGCGTTCCCCTGTAAGATCTACGCAAAAACAATAAAAATTCAATGAAATGTCAGCTCTTTACAAGCTGTAGGGATCCACTGAACTGGAGTAAAAAAAACTCCCCATAACTCGATGAAGTTTCAACCTTCAGATCTTTCACTTGGAACGTTTATGAAAAGAATCACGTGATACATCGAGGAGTTTCCTAGCAATCGATTAGGCTTAGAATGACACATTGATGTAGAAGAAGTTTCATCAATTAACGGGAATGTCCTTAATGTCACTTTCATTTCACTCAAAAGAAACGATACTTGAAACGTTCACCCCGAAGTCCATATGAGTACAAGATTGCTTTATATTTGCGTCATAGAACGATCATGGGTTTTTGCCGCTTACATATGCTTTGTTGAGCACATTAACCCATTTAATTAATGGTAACGATTTTGAGCAATTTCGGAGGAATTCACAACAGAGAAGATCTTACCTATTTTTCTATGTGGAAGCGGTGCTAGTACTGTAGGTTACGTGACAACTAAAAACTTTGGGTGGGGCCACTTAGTATGGTGAAAATTGAATGGTGAAAAGGTCCAAAGTGGTCACTATCCAAATCACCATGCAGGCAAGAGAGCGCAGAGAAAAACGCAAAGTTGGCGTCATTAAAGGGATTGAGTTTTAGTTGTTCGTAGACCAGTACTGTATGGTAGTACAAACTAAAGCACAGGCTTCACTGACGATAACTGAAAATAATGAAGGTATTGCATGTATCTTCATGGTGTATGAGGGACATCCTGACATCCTGTTGTTGGGAAATATTTTGCAGAATACGCTTCCCCCACTTCTCCCTCGAAATTTCCTCCTCTGTTGAAGCAGAACAAAAGATGATAATGTTTTCCATCGGACCACGGATAAAGTGCTTTAGTGGATTTTTCATATTATTGCCTAAATGTTTGGAACGGCTGACTTGCTCTTTGGCGATTTAATGTACAGTAGCGAAAGGAAACTCAGAACAATCCAAGGAATGGCATTTTGAGATCAATCCAAGAAATTGCATTTTGAGAACAATCCAAGAAGTGACATTTTCAGACAATCCAAGAAATGACATTTTCAAGCGTTTTACCTTGTCTTTCCACCACTGAACCTTATTCCAAGTTTTTTTTTCCTTGAATCTGCTCTGCTCTATGCATCACGAAATGAAAAAAAAACTATGGCAATATGTAAGCGTTAAATGTGAGCTTAAGTCTAGAGAACGTTTTTGGAGTTGAATGATGGATTTGGTCGATTGGTCTCGGTCGTTCTCCTCATATTGTACCTGCTCTTGTACCAAACCCTCCATCGATATTCTCTTCTGGAGTGATCAGTGAGTTGATTGCCCTTGAAGAGGAGAATCCGTCTTCGCCACCTTTTCAAGTGTTGTTTGCTCGCCCTTAGTAATTTAAAGGTCAATCAAAGAACGTTCACTTTCATGACGTTCTCGTTTAAAAAAACCTTATCGTTTGGTATCAATTTTATCGATTCGTCCCAAAGGAACTTTTCGAAACGGTGAATCTTCAGAGAGTAGTTTTAGCGTTTTCGGGCTGTTTGCATAAAATATGTGTTCGCACTTGGTCCGTTGTTGATTACGTCAACTCCGAGCATCTGTTGACAAGAATGCAGTGGAGTTTTGGACGCTGTAGAAAAATATGGGGGGGGGGCTTTATTTTATGTAAGGGCTGATCTGAAATGGTCACGAATGAGTGCAATTTTGATCGACTTTGCTGACACCGCCATGGTTCAGCTTATTTGTACTTTGCTTAGGTCATGATGACTACATGGTAGTTGCGGCTTGGATCCATTCTATCGCTATTTTCCACTATTCTGGTCACATATGAAGCTTTTGTTGTACAAATCTTTGCCGAAGAAATTCCAACATAATATTACGTCTCTATTTTGAATGTTTTGAGAATCAAGAACAGTTTCTTTCGAGTACAGGTTAAAGGGTGGTTATCAGACGGCTTTAGTAGTGATGCTGCTGCTAATCACCGAGGATTGATAACAACGGGACGGCAGATCATCAAAATTTCTTCTCTGTGAAGGGCAGAAAATTAGTGATCATTGAATGCGTGATTTATTATTAATGTGCTTCGCGGAGCGTGTTAGACTGTATGTGATTAGCTAAGGGAATAAAACTATTGCCTCATAAAGGAGCCCTTTTTGTCACTGTGGGGGCGCAGTATGTGCAGTGATCCTTGAATCAGTGGAACTAAAAGTGTCATCCTTACTAGGCTTTTAGACAAAGAGCTTTGTTGTGGGGACACAGAACTTACCACAGTTGGGGCTGCTTTGTTACGTGAAGGAAAAGTGTCAAACGACGGGGATTCGTAGGCGATCAAATTCATTTTTGATGTGCTCTCAAGGGCGTGTTAGGCAGTTCCTCGTTTAGTAGAGAAGCCCTACTTGTCACAATTTAGGCGCACTACCTGCATTGCTTTTTGGCCTGTTTTTGGAGAAACTCTTGAGGAATTATGATGGCATTTTTGGTGCGGAATGATTGTAAAGAAACGTCAAGTGTATCGTTCTCACCAAAAGCGCTGGCAACTGCCCTATGCGCGAACACTCACTATGCTCGGGTAATAAGATAGCAAATATTATTCCCGTGCTGTGGTGAGGATGTTTTGATCATGACTTCTCGCGCTCATTGGTTTGCATGCCCAAAAAAGCAATCTGAATGAACTGTTCAGTTTCTTCTCCTAGGGCAAGGTAAAAAAGTATTAAAATCAATGCTTCGTCGAACTCGGCTTTACTCCGAGTCCAAATAGTTTCTTATTCAAAGAACACCCTGCGCTCAATCAATAGTACTTTTACTTTGAGAAAGCGC